CCTACAGTGTTCTATTACCTATTCAACCAGTTTCTAAAAAAATATAGAATATTGCACCCAGACACAGTACGGTTCTAGAACATTCTCAGTGACACGGAAGTGGTAAATAAGTCGTATGCGACACCTTGCACTTTTGTTTGAAAATATAAAGTAGCACATATAGTATTGGCAGTGTTTCTAGAAATGCCAAATCACGGTAGGTGATACATAAACTAATTTTTTCTGGTTTTTGCATGAATCTTTAATGAAAATAGATGACTGGTGGTTCTCTTACTTTATTGTGTCTTTGGCTTGATGGGAATGCATTAAACTCTCCACTCCTAGTGTTTACTATGTTGAAAGCCATAATCTGTGCAATATACAGAAGTAGGTGTACAGGGTTTGTCTTTAAGAGATTGTTTCTTGATGCTTGGTCTATTTAGGTCGGTACAAGTGCTATTAAGTACTGCTACGGACTGTTCTCGGCCGTCTTTTTTGAAAACATCTCTATGGATAATTTTAACAACTCTACAGGCCTGATTTTGTGTATCGACAATAACTTCACTCAATACCAAAAGGTATGGCTGCCAGAAATCAGCTCTTTAATCTTGTTGTATGTACCGTTTGCTTTTGACATGTTCCTGCGGCCGAGAATAGTCTGCCTAACTCAGCCATATTGAACACTGAAACACAAACTTTGGAATCACGAAACACTTCTATGAAGTCAACTAGCTCAGCAAATGTTTTTCTGTGTATTACCATGCCAAGTATTGTCTGTCCCCTTATTGTGTTGTTATTGTTTTGATGAGGAAATTGTGTAGCATCAGTGCACACCTTGTCCCCATCCCCTATTTTTGACAACAATTTAATATCAGTTGCACACCTGCGTACTTTTAAATCAATATCAAAGGTAAATGTCTTATGAAGGCCAATATAACTGACGATACACATATTTGTAAGTTCAGAATATATGTGATATGTGATAATAAATTATAACTTCAGCTGTAATAAAATCTACTAAAAGTCAATGACACATCCTGAAACCATACAAGTGACAAACTTGCTATCTATGCCGTAGTATATTGTACTATTGTAAATAACAAATGATATGTTTTAAAAACTTTGAAAGACAAAGGAAAGTTTGTTTACTATCCAATAAATTTCAAGATGGTGAAACTCTAAAATTTGCCACGAGTTGGTGCTCCAATTGTGATTTTGAGACTGTTAGGCTTCTGGTCGATCTTTTTCTGAATAAAATAAAACTTGTCAATAGGAGGCGCTATACACTGGGTTCCATGTGCAGAAAAGATCAGAATCTATCTTTGCAAGGCTGTTGTCAAATGTTCGCCCAACTATTAATGGTATCACTTAATCAGTTTGTGGCACTGTTTGGCATTTCAGTCACCAAATTAATAATGTTGGTGAATCCTACTGCCAGAGTCAAGTGCTCAAAAACAGAAATACTGGTGGTGTTTCAAAAACAAAAATAATGAGAAAAGACCACTAGACAGTTGTACCATGCATAATGTGGCAAAGGCTGGTTGAAAATCAGGGATGCAGAGACGCTCCAATTCGATGGATTCACAAACTGATAATTTGGTTGCTGGGCTTAGCCACCTCCCAAAAACAATTTTGCAGGGCAGCAGCTAAAATTTCACTACTTCAAGTTTATGCATAAATTAACGCCCAGGCTAGTTGTCTGTACGATTGTTGTAACACTGTTCAACCAAAAACAATGCCCCGACGGCGTTTTGAAGATAACACATTGTCAATCATTTGTGAAAATTTCAAAACAAAAGGTCAAAGCATCTAGGAGCTATTTTTTTTAAAGTTCTGGGATGTGCACTAAAAAGAACCTGAGATAATTGTTAATTTGCATAACAATTCACTCCATAAGAAGTTTGCTAATGCTCATAATTAAAATGGCTGCAACAGTTCCAAATTTAAATGTATTATAGTTTTGGTTAAAAAGTTAAATATAGTGCATAATATGGAGATCCCGTCATTTCTTTTTTTCACCATTTCTTTGTTATTATTTATGTACATCTTTGCTAAATCTTGCTAAGCATTCAAAAAAGAGAATGTTTGCACCTGTTATCTATATTTTAAAATCGTTTTTTGAGTATGTTCCACTATTCACAATTCTACAAAATTTTAACAGTCTAACAGTGCCCACGAACCTGCATCTCTACCTTAAGAGATTGTCTCTTAATGCTTAGTCCATGTAGGACCATAGAAGTGATATTAATGGCATTGGTACGGATTGTTCCTGGCAGTCTGTTAGAAATCAACCATCAAATGTATTCTATGTTTTGAAAACATCTCTACGGATAATTGTAGCTGTTTTTGCCAAATTTAGTGCATCACCTACATGCCTGATTCAGTGTATCACCAATGTCTTCACTGAATAGCAAAAAAACACATCTCTCTTGAATGTGTGATCTCAGTTCAGGTATAGCTGCCAGTATTCGGTTCTTTACTATTGTTGTATACACCTATTCTCTTTTGATACCAAATTCCCTAGCCATATTGATCACTGAATCACAAACCTTTCTATGCAGTTGACTAGCGCAGCAAATGCTATTCTGTCCCCTTATTCTGTTGTTGCCATTGTTTTGACATCATAAATTTCTCAAAAGAATCTTGTGAACGTGTTTATCCTTTTTGAGAGATCAGAATTTTGTGATACATTATTTAATTGTCACCTGATATTGCAATTGCATTCTTGTGAAAGCGGAAGAGTACACCAAACAAATCATTGAAAGGTCCTGACCCTTCTCCCAATACTCACTTAGCCGATGACTATTGAATGCAGCTTATGTGTTGAATACAATTCTGACTGGTGTACTTTTCTTTTCAGGTCGTATAACTGGGTGATGGTAAAGATAGTGTACATTATACATCTCCATTTCTTCTTTGCCTAATTTTCTGGAAAACCACTCCTCTTCCATTTCTTTCATTTGATAGTCTTATATCTCTACATTTTCTTCATTAGTCTCTGTTCAATGGACATCAACTTTGCCATACCCTGTTTCCAATTGTGGGGAAGCTCTTGTGGGTTTTATTTCCAAAGATAAGGTACCACTCATCTATTATTATCTATTTACTATTTCTGGTGATTTGACGCAGATTGACTTTACCCTGAGAATTGGCTTAATTTCATCAGTTAAACAGCTAAGTAGTTTTAATGTTGCAATTATCTGTCAGACCCACATTCTTCTGCCATCAGCTGTGAGTT